ACACAGCATAGTCTGGATATCACAACAAAGTGTACAAAGATATCACTACATAGCAAAACCTTGAAATCACTACAAAGTGTACCATGATATTGCTACATGGTGAAGCTTTGATATTGCTTCATAGCACAGTGATAAGTGAATTTGAAACTCCTTGACAGAAATAATTGAATTTACCTTAAAATCTGTATTAGAAGCTGCATCCCTAATAGAAGTCGCACCCATTCTTTTTGAATAATTGAAAATGAAAAGTTCATCATTTCTTCTGTGCGGATGCTCTAATAAATGCTTATCTCTTCTGGATTGTACCATTTTAATAGAAGCCATGGCTTCTAATATAGATTTTACAGTATTAAGAATAGGAAATGTGTGTTGTCTTGTGAAATGCACAGCAGTAAAAAACTGAGATGACAGATGTCTGCACCAGCATTGTCAGTTGACAGAAATAGACAAGCACACCACTCAATTGACAAGCCTGGTACAACACAGCCCCTCCATTCAAACTCGGTATGTACCTACATACTACAATGGAATCATCCAATGATAATAGTGTAAGATTGTATATAAACCATACATGTTACAGGTGTGCAGACATGATCATTAATTGAATATTTCATCAACAATTGTTTTTGTTTTTTGATGTGATGCAAGTCATGTGACTGCAATAGACTGTATTACATAAGGTCACAGTGATCGTTATGGCCATCTTGCATCTCCCAATGGTTCTATGTATTTTCACTTCAATAGTACCGGTAGTAAATTACCATCCTCCGCAATGCCATCACTACATAGAAATGCATGGTGTTTTTTTGTAAATAAAATTTCAATAAAAATCAATGCTACATTAGTATTCCTATTTCTCAGATTACCGTAGTATGTTTTATTTGTTTCCATAGAAATTAATAGTATGGTAGATTATCCCTTGGTCAATGTTCTGTATGATTAACTGATTATCGTTTATACCTGTATCATTCCTTAATCCATAGAAGTCAATGGGGTCTTGGCGTTTTCTACAGCTTTCACCAAAGTAAAATGGCATTAATATTTGCCACAGAAATTAATCATGGTGTGATTGTCCATTCTCTATACTTTCCATATATACAATCCAATGTACAATCTCTAGACCTTCCATAGTAGTAAATGATTGGTGCTGTCGTCCCTGCCTGCCGCTTCGTTTGATGATGTCGAACAGAAATCTTCATAACCGTCACCCCCGCTTATGACCAACATTTTGGGCATCATTAAGGCTGACACCGAAGTCCTTCTCTGAAATTTCACCTTTTGAGGTGGGCTGTCTTCATCGTCATCATCATCATTTAACATTTCTACTGCTGACAGAAATCGCACATGTCCCGTGTGTCCATGTCCTGACCCTGTGACAGGAGGAATATCCTGCAATGAGGTCAACGTTGATGTAATTTTTGGCAGGGGGAGCGTGAGGACGACACCAGCACTTGTTCCAACCCAAAGTAAGTCCTTACACATGAGGAGAGCAGTTATACGAAGACACGCTGCTTTGTGCTGACGAATTATTGCATCAGAACCTATGAACGTAAAACATACATAAAGGTGATCTCTGCTGGATTATGATTGGACAATTACAATATGGAAATTATGGGAATTTATTTTTGATATTTTCTAGATCTTTGATATGCAAATTAGAATTACTATATTTATTCTATTAATAACACATGTGCTTATATATAACAGAGTGTCTATGATCAAAATAAATCAAATTTATTCTGCATACAATTGTTTTATGTGCTTTTATAATATGGTGCTCTCTCTTCGCGCCAAATGTATCTCCTCCTACAAATTTAGGATAAAACACTTCAGACATAGCTCATTCTACTCAGCTTGAGTGTGGGCACTAAGTTACTATTTGAATTTTTGGATATCTTTTTTCATTACCAAGAAATTTGACCACAAAGTTGGGGTAACGTTTCACCAGCAACGGCTTTTAACTCCTCTGTGATTTTTTCGACTCGACTGATTTTGTTCATATTTCATAGGTAGGTCGTACCGTCACTAATTGGAAAAAAATCCTGGCCCACCACTGCCATTGCAACATCCAAAAACTGATTTTTGAATACTTTCACCCCAAATGTATTACCTCCTACCAGTTTTGTAATAGCAGTGTTCAAATGACCATGCTTTTTAATTTGGCTACGTTGCGCACTGGTAGGAGATCACCGGCGCCGACATTGTTACACTGTATCAACGTAATCTCAACGAAATTTTGAACTGAAATGAACTGTAAATGCTGCTTTCATTCTAGAAAATCCTAATAATAAATGTAACAGCAGAATATGTACAGTGACTGTGGTCCAAGTAATAAACTAAGTGAGTTGTAAAGACTTAATGGTGTTTGCGAACTTCATATACGAGACCATTTAGTTATAAAGCGACGTTAGCTTCATGTTTATGTCACACCATGGAAACAGCCAAAAACATATTGCTTGTTTTTGAGCGGAGCGGATCGCCAACCAGCCTACCGGCTTGTTATTATTATTATGTGTTTATTTCAGATCATAAAAATCCATATCAAAAAAAAAAAACACTACAAAAAATCCTCTTCTCTCATAATTTCCACATCACACTCTGGGAATGAATTGAAATGTACAATGTTGTTGTTACAAAGTGGTTACTTACCTGCCAGCATTTTAAATAATATTACACAATATTGTACACCAAGCAGTACAGTGGAATACTTAATTACTTACCTGCCAGCATTTTAAATAATATTACACAATATTGTACACCAAGCAGTACAGTGGAATACTTAATTACTTACCTGCCAGCATTTTAAATAATATTACACAATATTGTACACCAAGCAGTACGGCGGAATACTTAATTACTTACCTGCCAGCATTTTAAATAATATTACACAATATTGTACACCAAGCAGTACAGTGGAATACTTAATTACTTACCTGCCAGCATTTTAAATAATATTACACAATATTGTACACCAAGCAGTACAGTGGAATACTTAATTACTTACCTGCCAGCATTTTAAATAATATTACACAATATTGTACACCAAGCAGTACAGTGGAATACTTAATTACTTACCTGCCAGCATTTTAAATAATATTACACAATATTGTACACCAAGCAGTACAGTGGAATACTTAATTACTTACTTGCCAGCATTTTAAATAATATTACACAATATTGTACACCAAGCAGTACAGTGGAATACTTAATTACTTACCTGCCAGCATTTTAAATAATATTACACAATATTGTACACCAAGCAGTACAGTGGAATACTTAATTACTTACCTGCCAGCATTTTATGTACGGCTTGTGTTATATCCACGTCCATCAGATTACTGTAGTTTGTGGCATGATATACTTTAACAACGGCGCTGCTTTGTTGACTAAGTGACACCCACACGCCAAGTCCTGATGTCACCATACATTGCACACTGTGGTTCTGTTCACTGCTAACTTGTATCTCTTTCTGTGAAGATCACACACATGGCAAGGTTAAAATCGTTTCCTGCGTAAACATGGGGCTGACATACAAATGTAGGTAGGATTTGGTGAAGAGTGTATATTCCTAGCAATGTTTGTACACCTTTCGTCAAATTTATGACTATAAACAAATGTTTTTCTGGAACCACATGATGTTATTTGAGTGTTTACTGATACCAAAACATGTATTTAACTCTCAAGTTGCAAATGTCAAATACAAACATGCGAAAAAAACTGGAATAACACCCCCACAATGGTACTGTATTTGCTACATTTGTATTAATATGAATATGACAGAGGTGTGTATACAGTCAAACTAGATCATATATTTATGAACTGAGAAATGTTTGGTTTATATGCATTTTCTAATAAAGATATGCTTCTATTAAAGCATATACAATTCTGTGTTCACTAGATTAGGATGCACTCCAATTTTTTTTGAGATTCACACTGTTATATGATATGTTAATGTCCCACAGTGTCTTTTTAGAATGTGAGAAAATTTGACCAATCAGTGTTCACCACAAATAGATTCATCCAATATTGCAGGGCAATTTCATAATATTGTAGATGACACACCTCACAGGATAGATTACATAGGCATGGCAATGTTTAAGGATGAATGTGGGTGATCTGTGACACAAAAATGTTACCAAGGTAACTTAATTGCTATGAAAAAAAGAACAATGCGAGTTTTTATTTATCATGAGTTTATGTATTTTGGACTCCATTGTCAAAATAGCTACCAGAGAAAAACTTTCGCTAAGCTAAATATTAAATTAATAGTGTGTTCAAATATTCTGCAGTTTTACTAGTTAGTAGCTACCATCCCATAATATGAAATAATTAAATTGGTTACCTCCACCATAACTGAGTTTGCATCAAGAACAGTTATCAAATTTTGTCTTCCGAACCAAAGTTTTCCTGTCACAGCAGCCATCTTGGTTATTGGAGCGTTACTGTTCCTCATCGTCAGTGTTTGGGGATTATCAAAATCCCATGGTGAACCTAGAAAATAAAGAACATCGGTCAATCAGAAATCAGGAGAGTTGAGAACAAAAGAAAACAACAAAAATCGTCACAACACGAATGCATTCAAAACCTGCGTAAACAATACATTCAATCCACCATCATAGTATCCATAGTATGGGACATTTCACATTGGTTTGAGTTATATTAATATCACCCCATAGATATGTACAAGGTTTCATTCATTCAAAGACACATGTGCTAGGAATGGCATAAGTTATCTATCATTTTTTGTGTGTGTGTGGTTGATTGTTTGAAATGCAAAACATCAATTTATTGAGCAATTTGAAGAAACAAAAAAAAATATTACTGTAAAATGTAATTTCTCAGAATACATGAAAATATCCACAGACTGATGTGTACTGTTAATGTTTACTAGTGTAATACAAACCACAATATGATAGTATTGTGGATTGTGGATGCAGTCACTATAGTCTAATTCAATTTCTAGAAATAGAAAGAATATACCTTTCCTACAAGTGACATGAAAGCCATTCAAATCATTGATATTGTTTGGCTCTGGTAGTTGTCCATCATGCGATGAAGTTAATGTTTTGAAAGGACTGCTCAACCAAGTTGTCCATTTCAATAACATTGCTCACATCATATACATCATTTAGGGTTAGGGGTATTCAAGAAGCACAGCCACTGTGCAATGTAAAGCCAGATACACACCTGGTTGTCTGCTGTACATGACTAATTCGCCGTTAGCCAGCGCTGCAAATACTTTATTGTCCAGATATATGATACACTGTACCGCAGCTGCATGCTGGATTTTCGTGGCTGCTTTGTCTTTCCTCACAGTATTATTGCAAATATAAATATGAATACTAATAAAAAACAAAAAAAACATTTCTGTATGTCTGCTTATTGAGTGAAGTATGTGATTGGTCAGTTACAGTCACATGATTACTCATAATAGATAATAAATCACTAACCATCCATCCTCTGTACCCAACCACATTGTTGCTTTCAAGTTGTCTGGATCTTCATCATCGTCATCATCCAATACATCATTTATTTTATGAATAGTCAGTCCACCATCATCATCTTCATCTGAAATAAACACATCCCATGTCAGCTTTCAGTTCATTAGTATTTTGTAACATTACCACTTTGACTATAAAATATTTTACACTTTTTAATTTTTGAACCAAACAGAAAAATGTGTTGAGTGTATATCTTGCAAATTCAAAGATAATGAAACAAGCAGTTTTAGAGAAGTCAAACACAGATAGGTTTAATATTCTTCCCTCCAAAATGTTTTCAAATTCCAAAGACACTTTTGAACACACAAACTTGACATTGTATCCAAGTTTTGAAGAGCTTTTTCTTTAAAAACAGAACAGATTCATTTGATCGCAATTCTAACCTGAACTAAGGTCTTCTTCATCATACTGCAAAGTAGTGTAGTTTTTTGTTGCCCCGTCATCAGAGTTATCCGAATCAAACGCTATGATTGACGCAGCTTGTTTGTTTCTCTTTCTTTGGGGTGGTGACGTCATGATACAATCTTCGTCTATCACGTTTATGCTAATCGGTGACTGTACTGATGTGTTCCGATTGGCTTCTCGTATCCTAATATAAAATAGAAAACCATCATTATGTGTTACTAGTACAGTGATACCTTAATATTGAACTCAAATCTAAAGTTTTCGAATTTATACAGTGTTTGTATTTAGTCAGTCAATGAAATATTCCTTGTCCAGTTTTACTGTGTCAATTATAAGCTACATCTGAGAAATTTTTAAGAAGACATTAAAAAATAACAACCAACATGGCCACCAATCAGCCATTTTGAATCAAATAACAAAGCAAATATGTGTGAAGTTTATATCAAGTTCATACGTAGCACGGACAGAAAGAACTCAAAACATAAGTCCCTGTTACAGACTATATCTGGTGGGACTAACAAGGAACAAGTATTTTACAAAAACAATTTCATTATTAGAATCAAAGAATGCTTAGAAAGAACTCCCGTGTGCTGAGAGAGTATTGAAGACACATTCAAAATTAATTCAAAATTACTTGTACCTGAGATATTGATGGAATAGCTGAAAACTAATTATGTAAATCAGGTAACTGATATGAACAGATTTAAGTGTAAAACTAATAAGGTCTGCACAATGTACCAAGTTTCATTGAAATGTGATTAGAACCCAAAAAATATTAATTATTATGCTAATAATTAGAGAGTTAATATGAACAGATTTTAACCCAAAATTAATCAGGCTGTCTATTGTCCTAGAGCATTTATGTACCAAGTTTTATTCAAATGTGATGATCAATACTTGAGATATCAGTATTAATTAATCATGTTAATTAAGTGATTAAAAAGCATACATATTTACCAAAAACTAATATGGTGTATAGTCCTAGGTTCATTGAAATGTGATGGGTACTCTTTAAAAGTTTCATTGAAATCCAATGAGTGGTTTGTAGACATTAACTAAAATTAACTAATTATGCAGGTTAGGTAATTAATAGGCACAATTATTTATCCCAAAATTAATCAGGTCTCTGCATAGTCCTAGAAAATGTTGCAAGTCTCATTGAAATGCGATGATTAGTACTTGAGATATCAGGTGAAAAGCTGAAAATTTACTAATTATGCTAATAAGGTGATTAATATGCACAAATATTTACCCAAAAACTAATTAGGTCTCTGCACAGTCCTCAAGTAACTATGTACCAAGTTTCATTGAAATGTGATCATTACTACTCAAAATATCAAAAGCTGAAAATTAATTAATTATGCAAATTAGGTAATTAATATGTACTGATATTACCCTAAACACTACCAGGTCTGTGCAGCGTCATATGACATCTATGTACCAAGTTTTATTGAAATGTTATGATTAGTACTTGAGATATCAGTGGAAAAGCCGAAAATTGATTAAACATTATGTAAATTAGGTAATTAATAATATTAACAGATTTTTACCCAAAACAAATCAAATCTGCGCACTAGTTCAGAGCATCCATGTGCCAAGTTTCATCAAAATCCAATGAGTGGTTCTTCAGATATCAGTGAAACAGTCTTGGAACAGCTAAAAATCAGCTAATTATCATGCAAATTAGGTAATTAATATTCATAGATTTTTACCAAAACTTAATCAACTCAGAGCATCTATGTACCAAGTTTCACCAAAATTTGATTAGTGGTTCTTGAGATAATGGTGGAACAAAAAAAGTGACATACATACATACATACATACATACATACATACATGGTTTTTGTTTATTCTCGATTATAAAAAAAAAGCTTTACATTTCATATCTTGCTATTTACAAATAAAATTATAGATGTTTACATTTTTCATGCCATAAAACTATCTCGCTACCTTAACGCAACACTGGTTATAGTACCAATGAACAACACACAAAAACAAGCAGCCTGTCGGCTGAGATAGCTCCGCTGTTAGCAATGCACATGGCAATTAAACAACAGAAGATATCATTAGAAAATGAACAAATCTGAGAGAGGTCCACATGTAGTACCTATATGTATAATATATCAAAGCAATTGGACTTGCAGTTTTCAACAAGAAGTCGAAAATATCACTTTTTACCAAAAATTACAAAAATATTCATCAAAATTAGAGAATTAAAGATATCATTATGAAATGAACAAATCTGAGAGAGGTCCACATGTAGTACCTATATATGTAATATCAAAGCAATTGGACTTGCGGTTTTCAACAAGAAGTCGAAAATATCACTTTTTACCAAAAATTACAAAAATATTCACCGAAATTAGAGAATTAAAGATATCATTACAAAATGAACAAATCTGAGAGAGGTCCACATGTAGTACCTATATATGTAATATCAAAGCAATTTGGACTTGCGGTTTTC